AAAAATGTCAGCGACACAAGACAACGGCGCACCGGAACATGTCGTCGAAGGTGAGTTTCAAATTCAGTACAACCTCTAATCCTCATCAGCTTCCATCTAATATAGTAAAGCCCGATACACTTATTCATGCCTGACTGAGTGTACTTTTAAGCAACAGCGAGTACTTTCTATCCTCTCTTCTACGAATCGACGACTAACATTTGAGACTCTAACAGCTACCTCAGTGCCAAATATTTGTGACTCAGCTTCCCGCGTACGGCCCGGTGAGGGTTCTTAGCGGGAAATTGCTAAATTGGGAGCCAGGAAAGCTAGGAGGCTGAAATTTTAGTGGGATGTTCCCCGCCCGTTTACAACTTAAAGTTATCAAATCCAGTTCCCAGGATGCGCGGTTCTCACGTACGGCCCGTGAAATTTTTTGACAGAAAAATGGCTAACTCGGGAACCAGAAAAGTTGGGAGGTTGAAATTTTGGGGGAATATTCCGCTTCCAAATACGACTTAAAGGTTTCAAAATCGGCCTCGAAGTACGAGTGGTTCTTATGCACGGCACTTAAATTTTTGATGGGAAAATTACCCACTAAACAGCTGGGTCATTTTCGGAAAAAGACTGCTAAGCGGAAATTGTTTATTTTTGTGTATGCAAGCAAAATTTACGATTATTTATGGTATTGAGCACACAAGGTAGATGTGAAGAAACAATCATTCATGCAGTTAACCTAATTACTTCAAATTGTTGCAGAAACGCGTGATCGCATCGGCCCGCCTGGTGGCCAGGTTGTAATAAAGAAATAATGATGAAGAGCAGACTGTTTTATCCAAAGTTAAAAGTTTCGTTTATTGCGAGGTAAATAGCAAAAAAGAATTTTGCAGAAAATAAATGTTACAGTTTTGACAAAAAAATTGCTTGCATGACTGACTGCCTGTTCTGGGCACATTAGCTCATAACATATTTTTTAAGCAATGATAAAGTTGCAGTGAATGACGAAGACACAACGTCATGCACATCATACAAGTCAGCTAGCTCGAAAGGTCTCTCAAGTGCGAAGTCGGCCGAGAGTATATCATCGAATCAGGACAGCAAGAGCATGATTACAGCCATTTCTGAAAGCATTCAGGATGATGAACGAGCAATTACGCCTATGGAAAGCAGTTCGGTCGGTGCTTCTCCTGAAATTACCAATCTGTTCACAAAACTCATTCTCAAAACTGTAATGGTTGAGGCTTCTTCGTCCTCTCTCTTTTCGTTACCTGCCATTCTGCATGGAAAGAAGAGGTTTTAAGCTCGTTTGCTTCTTCTGTAGTACCATGCCAGCCATTTTGCCTTCGACTTAAGTGTGTTCACTACGTATAGGTTCAGATGTTGACCTATAGTCCAGCTGACTTGCATTTGACAAACACTTCGTTTTGTCCATTTTTCATCTCATTTATTGATGACAAGTTTTTTACCTATAAAATTAGCTGTTTTTTCGAGGAAATTAAGGATAATGGTACTTAGCAGAAATCCAGTTTCTGCTGAACTCTGGCTTCGCCCTAATATGTTGCTCACTCCCAACTCATTCAAATTGCCCGAAAATAAGCTTACTAGCAAAATTTTTATGCTCTACAGTGAAATAATTGTGCCAGCGAGCAGATGACTTTTAGCTTTTTAGATCTTGTTGATGAAAACTCTGTGCGCTATTTTTCAAAAAGTCTAGTTAGAGCAGTGAAGTTTGGAAGAGAGTGGCGAATTCTTCATAAACATATAAATATTCCAGGATATCATTAAACCAAAAGTCCAAACAACACACCAGTGCTTTTCTTGAATGGGTTCAGGTTACCTGTGGAGAAATTCTAAGACAGAATTCATTTGTCTATTGAGAAATTTTAAAATAATAGACTTAATCTGTTCCTGGAATTTACAAAAATTTGTAGTTTCCCAATAGAAATGCCAAAAAACAAAAGCTTCGTTATTGTGAATGCCTTCTGCAGACAGAAAAACTGGAATAGAATACTTTCTCAAGTGGCTTTCACCAGTAACTTGATTCTTTTTGTTCCCAAAACTATGGGAAAACACTGAACTCTGAGAAATTCCCAACTGCTCCATCTTTTTATTTTATGCACAAAAATTTTTAGTGAATAACAGCGTACCCATTGAAAAAGTGCAAAATTGAAAGCAGAAATCCTATCTGTATTCATGTTCTACGAGAAGTGGAGACTCCCAGAGATGGCCAAGTGTCAGCGATTGCCAACAACAACAATTTACTAGTAGAATAAGTCGATGCTTTCCTTTCCGCGGACTGCTTAAAAAAGATTGACAGTACCACAATCCTAAAATGCAAATATTTCGCTCTATTCTTCATTAAGTATGCTTTTTTTTTGGCAGTGAAACTCAAAAGACAGATACAGCGTTTTCTGTTTTAGAACAATTTTGATGCGTCAGTGATGAAAAATGAAATAGCTCGTTTGACGGAAGAAGTAACACAGCTGAAAGAAGAAAGGCAGAAGTGGGCACTGAGAAGGTTTCTGTGTTTATTCTTTAAATTCAACAAATTCTACTGCTCATCATGTCAACAACACTCCTTGATTTTTGCAGGGGAAAATGTCAAAATGCGGGTGACGAGTCGTTGATTGAGATGCTGGAGGAGCGGCTCGCTGAGGCAGAAAACTGCATACAGGATTATCGAGATGAAAATACGGTGCTGAAATGTGAGCTTCGAGAACTGCAGGTAGTAACGGCAATATTTTTCCAGCTTGGACAAGAACTATAACGCACAATGAAACCAGAAAATTTTTCGGAGAAAATGCTTTCTGAAAAATTTTAGTAGCGAAAGATAATTTGAGTTTCTCTTTTGCATTATAGGTGGGAAGACTTTTCTGATTTACCAGATACGCACCTAATCAACAAAAAGATCCCCTTAGTCTTTGACCGGCTTCTACTTCATCGCTGTGTTTCTTATCGCCATTGAGGCAGCTGGTAGCTTCTCCATTCTTCTCCGACCCGGCTCTCTCTCAACAATGCACTAGATTATTGCGTTTTTGTTCTATCAGCAAGAGCGCTAAAAACTAACAAGGAATATTTCATTAAGATATGAAAAAGCTAGTTCAAATATTCATTGTTCTATAATAGTAGTAGCATTGAATAACAAAATTTCAAAAATTCAAACTTAAATGCAATTCAGTTTAGTTTAAAATTAAGTGTTTAACTGTGCTGAACAGCGCTTCAAGAGAAACGATTCTACTACTCCCTGCTTCATGGAACTTAAGCGTTTAACAGGAATGTGACGGAGCAGAAGGTGGCAACGACCCGGAGAATGCAAAGTTAGCCGAGAAACTGAAGGCATCGGAGTCGCTATGCGAGGAATTGATGGAGGAGAATGAGACCTTGAAAGCGGACGTAAAGGATTTGCAACAAGAAATCGAAGAAATGCAAGTTCGTATAGTATTTATTATTATATTTTCTTGCGTGCAGTTATTTTTGGTTCACCTTAAAAACGACAAAACTTTTACAGATATTAATCTGGACCACGCGTTTTTGTTAGGTTAATTCGAAAATTGAAAGACAAAAAATCTGAAAATTCAAAAGAACAAGAAAAGCGAGCTTCTGTAAACTTGCTAATTTTTCACTCATGATTTGAAAATTTTTGTTGCTTTTTTCACCCCCTAAAAAAGAAGTTATAACGGAGCATGAAGGGCATACTGACACTGTGACACTGTGATTATTTGATCCAACTAGCCATGAAGACACCTGTCTTCACAAAACCAAATCCGAGTCATGTCCTGCAGTGTGAGTATTACTGCTGTGAAGTTTACCAATGCTCACTGCATAAAACTAAAGACCCAACAAAAAAGGCCCAGGCTGGGACGCACCGGACTGGCCTGTGCGATCATGGGTTTTTGCACCGGACTTGAAGTACTCAGGTCATTAACTGCATGAATGGCTGTTGCTTTACAACTACTTTTTACGGTAACTAGCATAAATCACCATAAATTTTGTAAAGTAAATGTACAATTTCCGTTTAACAGTCGTTCTTTAAAAGTAACCTAGTTATTCAGCGGGAAATTTTTCCGCCAAGACTTTAAGTGCCCGTACTTAAGAACCACGCATACCTCAAGACTGAATTTGAAATACTTAAGTTGTACTTGAACAGGGAACGTTCCCCTAAAATTTCAGCCTTCCAGCTCTTCTGGTTGCCGAGTTAGCAATTTACCCGCAGAAACTTTCGTGCGTCCTTATGTGAGTACCACGCATAACTCGAGGCTAAATTTGAAATCTTTAGCTAGTACATGCACAGGGAAATCCCAACAAAGTTTAAGCCCCTTAGCTCTTGCGATTTCCGAGATCGCTTTCCCCCAAAAAAATTTGCATATTTTTTTAAAGCGTCCGTACACGGCACTCAAGCGTCCGCAGAGGATGAAATTAAAATGCGAGGATCGCGCATGGTATGGGTACATACTCCCGAAATTTCAGCCTTCTAGCTTTGCTGGTTCTCGAATTAAAAATGGGTGACAAAAAGTGCGAACACACAAACACACACACAGATAGCCTCTTCCCAACATGCGTTTTTGTAATTTGCATATATGCAAAAATGCATAAATACAAAATGAGCGTTTTCACAAATTCGCTTTCTTTATTTAATTTTAGTCTCTAATTCTTCAGGGGAGACCTTAAAATTTTACTCTGAGCTCTGTACTGACCGGAATTGGGCTGTTTTCGCTCCTTATAGCTCCTAGCGAGTGAATACAACGGGATTTTAAACTTTGAATTTTTCTTGCCTATTTTCCGCAAAAATCTGTCTGAGTATCCTTCATATGATAGCGCGTTGTCGTTGTACTTAGTATCATAAAATCTTCAGCTTGCTTTCTTAGCAACCCTATGAAAGGGGATTCATCATCTACTGTCAAGTCAGCAGTTGGTGTCTGCCAGTAAAATTGTCACAGTTCGAAATGAATCTTTTGAAACAACAGACGGGATGGGTTTTCAGTTATCATCTAAAATAACTGTTTCTAGGAGCACAGCTAATATGAAAAAAAAGCATTTTTTCTCTCGGGCTATCTATATGACGACTAAACTATGGAAGAACGAATGATATTTTGCAGGACCAATATCGTGAAGAAGAGATTGAGGAGTTTCGCGAGCTGCAGCGTGAGCTTGAGCAAAATGCAAAAAATTGCCGAATTTTGCAATTTAAGCTCCGGAAATCGGAACGCAGTCGCGAACAACTAGATGCCGAGAAGCAGCACCTCGAAGCCAAAGTTCAAGTTCGTGCACCATTTCCTGTAACAAATTTAGGTGCAAGTCGATTATTGCTTACATTTTCCTTCTGTGGCATTTCTCTGCAACTTCAGTTTCAAAAGCATCCATCCAAGCGAGACCACCGACATATGTAAATCTTACCACATATGTTGACTCCAGAATTGAGAGTTTTAAGAGCCTAAGGTTTTTTTTTTGACTGTATACGAAATCAACAACTGTAATCCAGCAATAAATCGGCATAGTATCAAATTTAGATAAATTTATGAATGCTGAACTAAAAAAAAACCTGACTTTTCATCTAAGCCCATAATCAGTCCACACTGGCCTCCCGGATAGTCTCGCTGTTGATCGATGTAATTTAGGATCAAAGGAGTGACCTAAAAAAAATTGCCAAGAATGCACATTTAAAAAAAAACAAAAAAGTTTCATTTACTGATTCAGAACTAGTGCAACAGGCCATTTTATTTCTCTTCGCTGCCTATATGACTTTTTCAAAAACTAGTGGCTCGTCACCTTAATCTTCATCTGCTTTAAAATAAAATTTTCACCGACTTACGGCTCAGTGAAGGCGTGACACGACTGCTATCACTTAGGTGTACGTTTAGCCTAAAAGTGAGGATACGCCGAAGAATTGATTTCCCTCCGTTCTGCCGCTTTTTCTTTTTCCCGTACTTTCATTATTTTATAAAAAAAGAGATTAGTAATTATATTATATTATAATTTAATAAAATTTTGCTAATCGCAGCTCGCTGAAATAGACATGCATGCGGTTATACAGTGCATTTTCGCGACCGCTTCAAAATCAG